TTCTTAAAACAACCTAACGAACAATCTTTGTTGGCCATAATGTCCTGAAGGGAACTATTACATTAGATTACAACTCTATAGAACAACATTTAAGCTATAATTAAAACAGTGAAAAGTGCTAATACTTGTGCAAGAACCTAGATGCGTCTTAGAGTTTGAAAGAAGACACCTTACTGTGAAACAAAACCCTCCACCAAAAGCCTTTTTCTATTGGAGGAGTTAGATGCCAATGAAGGTGATAAATTGATGCAGAAATAAAACCATAAATAAAGAAAGAACAATGTCATGTTCAGACCAAAAGAAACTCATAGGTACATACAATAAGCACACAATCGTTTTTTTTTTTTTGGGCCAAATACCATAATCACAATGAATCTATTAAAGATATGACTTGAACATTAACACATCAAGTCCATTCAGCCCATCACATAATCCAACAATTTAACCAAATAGAAACCATCACTAGATAACCATTGAGGGAAAATTTAAAAATTTGAACACGTATAAGTAAATAGGATGAGAGTATCTAACCTTGTTTTATTGTTTGACAAGACCACTATCAATCATTTCATGAAGAAGATTCTCTACTCTATCATTCTCACTTTTCCCAAAAGAGCTCGAAGAAGTATTCTATATGTCATTGAGTTAGGCAGGCATTCCTTCTCTTTCATTTTTGAAAGCAAAGTCATGGCTTCATCAAAAAGCCCTTGTCGACAGAGGCCATTGATCATAATGCTATATGTGTAGACATTTACACGATAGCCTTTGCTCAAAAGGTATTCAAAAATCTCCCAAGCATCATTTAGTCTATAACCTTTACACAAACCATCAATAAGTACGTTAAGTGTGTGCAAATCAGGCTGAACTCCCAAGGCAACCATTTGCTGAAATAATGCAATCCCGTGTTCGACATGCTGGCTTTTGCAAACTGCATGTAACAAAATGTTACAAGTGACTACATCTGGGGCAACACCACTATCATGCATATCATCAACAGGTCCTGCACATATGACATTTTTCCTAATCTGCACATGCCATGAATAAGAGAGTTGTAAGCCCAGGTATTGGGATCTACGTTTTTGTGACGCATTTCTTTAAACAGAACCATAGCTTCTTCAACCATTTTGATCTTACATAATCCGGCAATCAAGATATTAAAACTAACTACATCAGGTGCCAGCCCACTACGAATCATCTTATTAAATACTTGTTTTGACTCCTTAACATTGTCCATTGAACAATACCCATCCATTAACGAAGTGTAAGTTACAACAGTAGGTCTCTCGCCACATTTCATCATCCCTGCCAAGAATAACTTCAGCTTCTATGATCTTTCCTTCTTTACAGAACACATCAATCAATATATTTAATGTATAAACATTAGGCTCGATGCCTTTCAGCATCATTTCATGGAGAAACCAATTAGCTTCTTCCCATTGTCCCTTGCTGCAGTGACCGTGGATTAAAGAGCTATAAGTGACAATATCCGGTAAAAGTCCTTGATCAATCATTTCAGAATACAATGCATGGGCCTCAACAATATGTCCATATTTGCAAAGCCTATCAATGATTGTACTGTATATGACTACATTAGGCTTAATTGAATGCCTCTCCATCTTTCGGATCAATTTAATGGCAGACCTTAATTTGCCAAGTTTACATAGCCCATTAACCAAAGTTCCATAACTAATTTCATCTAATTGGAATCCTTTGGCCGTTAGCTCGTCATAGAAGTCCCATGCTTCCCCAACCTGGTTCCCAATGCACAGTCCTTTAATCAGCGTATTTAAAGTTACAGTATCCGGTTGAAGACCCATCTTGTGAATCTTTCCCAATATTGAGAAAGCAGAATACATGTCATCCAAATGGCAGTAACAATTGAGCAAGATGTTGATTGTAAATAAATCGGGTGTGAATCCTCTGAACTCAGCTTGTGCAAACAATGAGATGGCAGTGCGGTGATGCTGAGCCTTGGCAAGTGATCCTAAAATCTTATTAATTTGGAGTATGGAAGGTGGGGGATGCTGATGGAGGAAGCGAATGAATGAAGCTATGGAGTCGTGAAAGCTATTCACATCTCGGGTTTGAGAATGAGCAAAGAACTTGGGGGTGAGTGGAAAAGGGGAAGAGAGAATGATGGAAGATGAAGAACATCGAATACAGAGAGGAAGATGGGGAAAAGCGCACCTTCTAGCGGCACAAGAGCGCATCTTCGTTGCAAAACAGTGATGAAAACCAACCATGATTTCAGAAGTGCTTTTACGATTTACGAAATAAATATGTGAAAGAATTTGTCTCGTTTTTAGAGTTATCAAACACCCCAAAAATGACCAAATTTTAGAATTTTGATCAACAAATTAATATTTATCAAAATTTTCAAGTACGTAGTTAATTTTTTTTTTATTTTATATCTTTGTCTCTTTTGATGGTATGATTCTGCAAATTTAAATCACAAAAACAATGTATATTTACTTAAAGCAACGAAATTCAATGAAATATTTGTCTAAATACTAATAATGGGCATTAAATAAAAAAATATTGTACATTATAAAAATTCAATTATAATTTTTTATTTGATCAGACTATGTTAGCTTGGTCCAGTGTATCAGAGCCAGCATAAACTTGACAGAAGTGAGATATTATTTGTGAAGGTGAGTAAGAAAACACCACCACATCATGAGTGAAACCTCAAATAGCTTGAACCCGTTCATCTTTTTTTTCCTTCATCCCAAAAAGACTTCCTTCCTCTGTTCGTAGAACTATTTCTAGAAAAATAGAGAACTTTGTTGAGATAGATCATCTTCCTGAAGATGCTAGAGTTCAGGAAACAGATCTACTTCTTCTCAGCCCTTACAGCCTTTATCACTGTACTAATCGTGTCACCAGAAATGTTAGAAACCTGATCTCCACTCGAAGACCCAATGTGAAAGAAGTGGTCCAGTCTACCAGACTAGAAAATGTGGTCTTCCTGCCTCTTCCTCTGAACAATATGTCAATATTGACATACCTTAACCCTTGATCAATGAGTGGATAGTTCAAGGTTATACCCATCTCCATATTGGTGCTGTACGCCTTATTTTTACACTCCATGGGAGAAAAGAAATTCCAGCCATTGCTAAAGTTGCTTTAGTTGATACTACCTACAGTAATGCTTTGATTGATGCTGTCCTGACCACTCTTAGCAACGGTAGTGTTATCCTTACCATAGCCCCAGACTTCAACATCAAGCTTTCAGATCCAATTTTGACAGATAGACTTAAAATCCAAGTCCAGATAGTTGGAGTAGAACAAGATCCCAGAGCTATTGTAGCAACTCTTCATCATCAAGTCAACTATAGACTCCAGAATCATGTTCTTGATCTTCATTTTCCAAATTCCATTAAAGATGCTCTATATGTGGTTTCTGATAGAGTTGATGATACCTCCATCATCCAGATTCCTCGACAGATCCCAAAAGAGGAACTTGCTTAGTTGATGCCTGTTGAGTGGATCACCAACTATGAGAAACATTTTCATGGTGTTCAAAGGGATGTCCATACTTCTACTCTTCTTGAAATAAAAAGGCTTCTAGATGGCACAATCAAAAGAGTGTTCACCAAGCCAGGCCAGGAAGATTCTTCTGCACCTTCTAGACGTATTCTGACCATCACCCCAGCCTATGTTCCATCCAAGCGAGACCCTCTAATTGCTTGGGTAGACCAGAATGCCAAGCCATGTTATGTGTCTCACATAAATGGCCATTTTATTTGGGATCATGCACCAGAAGAATGTGATCCTGACTGTGAATGTGATACCCCTTACTGGTGGGAAGCATCAGACGATGAAGATGAAGATGGATGGTCTTACCCCATCAGATATGCCATAAAGAAGAAAAAGGAGAAGAACATATCTCCTTGTTCCCACAGGCATTACCATCATCACCATGATGATGATGATCATGGTCCGAAGTAGAAAGCTAGAAACTGGAAGGCTCCTGTCCCTACTGTCCCTTCTAGCAGATTATCTCTGTATGATTTGCTAAAAAAAAAACAGGTCATGAAGACTTCCTACCTAAACAAAGGCCAGATCTAGTGATTCCTGTCATCCAACAATCCATCCTGTGTATAGCAATGATGGAGCCTTATGAGTAGGATTTTACTCCCCTTGAAAGAAGAACCAACAGAGAAACAAAGGTTCCAACAAGACCTTTCTCTGTTCCAACAGAAATCTCTCCTACTGGTGAAGCTAGACTAGTCTCAGCAGCAGAAGAAGTTCTTAACTAGCAGACCCAGAATGCGATCGGCCAGAATAGAGCCTTGACAAAGATTGATTCAAAGCTTGACTTGCTGACTCTTAGAATTGATACTCTGACAAGCAGGCTTGACCAAGTCTCTGATCAAGTCAAACAGCTTTATATGACTCTGTCTTCTCAGGCTTATCAACTAGATGTAGATCTGAAGCGATTTATCGAAAAAGGGTATATTGGACTAGAGTTTACTAGGAAAGAGCAAGAACTGTCACAAATCCAAAAGGATTTGCAAAGAATTGAGTCAGACATCGCAAAGGATCATTCACAAACCATCTATGACCCTTATCCATCTTACCCCTCTAGTTTTCAACTTCCTACATATCCAACATCACCTCCTTCTTACCCTAGAGAATCTGATTACAGTAAGGTTTTCAAAATATCTTATCCTATTTTAAGACAGTTGAGAAAATCTTGACAACCAACTTTTTCACCTGTCCAACCAAATCCTCCTCCTAGACCTCCAATAAAACCACCTCACTTCCCTTCATCTGAAAGAATTTTCTACCCATCACCCTCATACACTAAACCTATTGAACCAACACCATCCTCTCAAGGAGTTGTAATAAGAACTCCACCATCATCTCCACCAAAACAAACTTCTCTTCCAGATAGAGAAAAAGGAAAAGAAGTTGTTGATCCAAGTAAAACCATAGCCACTTTCCAATCCTTGAATAAAGATCAATCATCAACAGATAGAACCTCTGAAACTGAGTTTGATTCCTCTATTGAATACAGTTCTAACTCTGATTCTGAGACATATCATGCTAACATCTCTAAAGTAGCAATGGTCCAACCAGATCCTACAATTGAAGATCCTATTGATGAGGAACCAACTATTCCTCACATGTCTGAGCCAAGAAGAGCAGACTATAAACCTACTACAGGTCCGTGGCTCACTTTTGATAACCTCCCTCGGGAAAAATAGAGAGACAGACTCAATGAGTTCAGAGCATAGATTGACCTGCAGCTTGCTAGGCATGATGCAACTCTTGAGGAAGTTCTCACAGAATTTCTCTCAAGACTAACGGGAACATTAAGAGAATGGTATCAAAGTCTCAATGATTACCAGAAGATAGCAGCAGCCAGAGTTGATAATGCAGAAACTCTTCTAGGACTCATTCATAAGGAATTCATTGGTGATTTCCATATCATTGACAAAAGGTATCGCCAGGAATACTTTGAGATGAAATGTTGTTCTCTGGACAAAAGAGACTTGCAGAAACATTTCCAGAGAATGTCTGAAAAATATTACATGCTTGGAGGAGCTAATGATGTCAATCTCAGGCATACTTTTATTGTCTCTTTTCCAGATGAACTGCAACCAGAACTTCATAAAGCTATCAATGCACTCTATAGAAATATGTCTGACATTTCTATCGGAGAAATATATCAGTTGGCATTAGCAGCTGTGGATAAGCTCTGTGAACAACAAAAGTTCTTCAAAGGAATGCTGAAAGGACAGTCAAAGCTCAGGCATGCTTGCAAGAAACTGCACCTGAAGATAAAGTGCAAAGATGAAAAAGATTGCTCTTGTTCTACCAAGAAAAAATATCATTATTGTCGATTCAGATATCCAAAAGGTTCTTACTCCAGAAGAATATCTAGAAAGCCTTTCCTAAGATACTTTAAGAGGCGCAGGCCTTATTCAAACAAATCTGATAGGTGCTACATATGCAAGAAAAAAGAACATTTTGTAAAAAATTGTCACAACAAGACAAAAAAGGATGTGAAGATGCTAGAACACTTGTAGACTATTCTGATGATCAACAAAGATGAAGATGTTGAATCTGTCATTGAAGAACAAGATGCTCAGGATGAAGAAACACAATATGTTCTTCCTTTCTCTGAAGACAAGGAAATTGATTCTGAATCCTTATCCCAAGAAGATGATTCTCAAGGGTATTTATATTCCCTTGAACAACCCATGCATCCGTCTTTCCTTGGTTCCCTGGCTTCTCAGCCAAATCACAACAAAGTCACTCCTAAGCCAAATGTCAAAATTCATATCTTTCCAGGAAGGGATGAAAGCCAATCCCTGTTATTTCTTTTATTGATATTGGAGCATGCAGAACCATCATGAATCCTGATATTCTTCCTTCTGAAGCATGGATCCCTTGTGACCAATCCTTCCTTACTGCTGATTCAAAAACATTCAAGATTGAATGGATTACTAGAAGGAAGATTGGTATTCAATTCTTTCCAGGATGTGTTCTATGGATGAAAGTTCTTGGTAGTGATCTCCCGGGGAAAGATATTCTTATTGGATTTGATGCTTATTATCATACTAGGAGTCTTCAAGTACTGCCTAAAGGAATTAGATATAAAAATTTCGTTAGTGCATATACTGAAATTCCTAATCTTTTTGAAATCCAACAAGCACCACCAAGATATGAAGATATTTGAGATCATCTTCTTAAGTTTTGCGCTGATAGTCATCAACAGTTCTCTCATCCATTTCCATTATGGAAAAATCAAGAGTTTTTCATAAAACTCCCCTTTAAGAAAAATGAAGATATCAATCCTACAAAAGCCTCTCATCCAGGAATGAATCCAGAAGATCTCAAGCTCGCTAAAGAAGAATGTGCTGCCCTACTCAAGCAAGGCCTTATTGAACCAACAAAATCTAATTGGGCTTGCCAGGCATTCTATGTTGAAAAAAGGTCAGAAATCAAAAGAGGGAAGAAAAGGTTAGTCATTGACTATAAGCCTCTTAACGTTTTCCTTCAAGATGACAAATTCTCTTTACCAAAACCTAGTTCACTTACGGTCCATCTTAGAGATGCAAAAATATTTTCTAAGTTTGACCTCAAAGCAGGATTTTGGCAATTGGGTATCCACCCAGAAGATCGACCCAAGACTGCTTTCTGTATTCCAAATGCCCAGTACCAATAGACCATTATGTCATTTGGGCTTAAAGTCGTCCCATCACTGTTCCAAAAGGCCATGACCAGAATCTTTGAACTTATACTTGATAACCTCCTCATTTACATTGATGACCTTTTACTTTTCTCAAAAGATGAGGATTCCCATAAAATTTTATTGACCCAGTTTGGGAAAATAATTGAAAAATATGGGGTTATGTTGTCAGCAAAGAAAGGAGAAATAGGTGTCAAAAGCATAGAGTTTCTTGAAATGCATTTTGAAAATGGCCAGTATTATCCTAGACCACATATTGCAGAAGAATTGTTCAAATTCCCAGACGATAATCTAACAACAAAGCAAATCCAACAATTTCTGGGGATTATTAATTATCTTCGGGATTTTATCCCTCATGTGTCAAATCATACCAGCCAACTATCCAAACTTCTCAAAAGGAATCCTCCTGCGTGGGGAACAGAGCAGACCTCAGCTGTCAAGACCCTCAAAAGAATTGCACAACAACCACCTCCTTTAAAAATTCCTGACAGAGGGCTACGAATCCTCCAGAATGATGCCGGTGATGACTTTTAGGGAGCTGTCTTATTTGAAGAGATAGATGGAAAGAGATTTTACTGTGGACATGCAAGTAGACAATTCAAGGAGTCAGAAAAACATTATCATGCTACCTACAAGGAGATCCTTACAGTCAAAAGAGGAATCGAGAAGTTCAGTTTCCATCTCAGTCCTTATCAACTCAGCGTAAAAATGGACAATACGTCTTTTCCCAGAATGCTTAATCCCAAGGGAAAGACTTTGCTAGACAGCCAGTTACTCCGATGGAAAGACTGGTTCTCTCGCTATAAATTCACCGTCCATCATCTCAAAGGTCATCAGAACATCATAACAGATTTCCTCACAAGACATCAGAAAGTTTCCCAACCTCCAAAACTCCTGTCACTCTCTAGACATCAACCTCTTTTCATCCTAACCATCTTTGAACCAAAAATGCCTCACAAAATGAGAGCCACCATTTTCCCTCCTGGATCCCGTCCTGAATCTTCATCAGATGTCCAGAACCTTGCCAGAAGCACTATATTCTACTAGCTCCACCGTGTTTTTGTAGATACTGGAATTCACCCTTACCCTCAGCACTTTGATGCCGATGCTCCCTACCTCACTATTCCCATCATCAAAGGACCTATACCAGAGGAACTTTTATGGTACATCTGGTCTGTCTCAGCCAATTATACCTGTGCCATAGCCTTCTCAGCTGCAGTTGTCTATGATCACCTGAATGATTTCAGAAATGAAAATTCTCCTCTTATCACGCTCTTTGAGATGCTTGTTCCTCTTCCCTACTGGAGAGGAAAACTTCAGAAAATTCTCAAGGACATAATATCTGGGACTTACCAACTCCCAAATTCAAGAACTATGGTATAAGTGCTGACCAGAGGCTTTACACAGACAACCGTCTGATCCTTCAAGTCACCACCCCCTCATGGCCAAGAAAGGAAGCATTATTAATGAAAAAAATTGGGAAGACATTAACTACACTTAACCAGCCTGACACGGGAGAAGACACTTCATGTCTATCTCTTGGACCTTTCCCTCCAAGCTCACTGTCAACCAACAACACAACACTTGAAGAATTCCAGAGAGATTTCATCATGAGTGCTGTCAGACCTCCACCAAACAGGTCATAGGTCCCTCCACAGACAGAAGCCTCTGAAGATCCTTATGACGAAGACTCACAGATTCAACTCACTCAGCCTGAAGGACTCTATCTCCCTCAACCAAGTTTCCAGTCACAACTCCCATTCCTTGCAGGAGAATCCCAAGATCCTAACCAAGATGACCCTGACCCAGAGCTCGAAGACTACTACTGCACAAGGAGACACTATGACTCAGATGACCCTGACCCAGACCCAGAAGGCATCATGAACCTATCCCCCATCCATGAGCCTATCTATAAAGACTAGGGAACATCATCATCAGAAAATCTCCTTTTAGAATACTCTGAAGATAAAGTGGAACCCACCAGAATCCTACTTTATGTGGCCATCTACTTTTACTTTATTAAAGAAGTTTGTCCTGTAGTCTATTTCGTCCTCTTATAATAAATGGAGTGGTTGTCATTATTAGGTATCATTATGAGAGTAATTGGTAGTTGTGAGTAGTTGTGATTATTAAATGTCAAGTCATAATGACGTCTACTATTACATCTACCCGTCATAATGATATGTACTATTAGGATTTTGTCATGTAGTGACCCCGAGCCTCTATATAAACCCCACTCTGCTATCAGTTACGGGCAGAAGGAGTTGTATCGACTTCCTTGTATAATACTAGTGTGATTTCCTCATGAGTTCTCTCTAAATTTCTCTCTTCTTCTGAAAGCCTCACTTATAATGTCTTTCTTCTGTCGCCAGAGATTCTAAGTATGCTCTACACTTGCCTCTTTAAGAGGATCCTGTGCATCAGAAAATAGAATCTGACCATGATCTATGAAGGAGTGTTTAGTGACAATCTTTCCAGTTATCCTAGATCTGGTATTCAAAGCTGAGTGTCCTAATGTGGCCCGTCGATGAGTTGAGAATGAGTAGCCTTACCTGGACTAAAGCCTTGGATATCAGATTATGTTAGCTTGGTCCGGTTCAGCTAACACCCCCTCAGTGGAAAAGCCATAAAGAAAATCAATTCTAGAAATTAAAATGAGATAAGACTTTTAAACACAAATCATAAATCACAGATGAAGCACCTGGAAGCTGAGATTAAATGAAGCCTATATACGAACAGCATGAATTCAGTCATAGTAGCTAAAAAATGATAAGCTACTAGCTCTGATCCTTAATATAAGAACTTGTTTGACTTTTATTTTGGTCCTAAATATAAGACCTCAATTCATTTTGTCTCTCGAATTTATCTTTTTTTGTTAAGATAATCTTTGTAATAATAATAGTTCTAGCAAATATATTTAATTAGTAATGATATTTTAGAAAAGACAATACCTATTTATTACAAATAACTAATTTAACTAATTTTATTAATCTACTCAAATTAGTTAATCAACTTTTATATTAAGTACCGGAGGTAGCATATTGCAAAAAAATATATAAGGGAGAGGCCGACACACAAAAACACAACAGCTGAAAAGGTGGGCATGTTACACGTATTTATGGCCCAGGTGCCACTAGCTATGGCTACCACAAGCATCTGTCTAACAATCCACAGGCTAGGGTATTATAAACTCAAAAATCGAATGTAGAATATCACAAGACTATTAATGACAAATTTGAAACAAATGATAACAAAAGTCCTTGTGAATGACACGGATGTCACCTTGTGATGGTACGGATTAACCATGGAGTCAGTCTCTGCTTTATGACAAAAGCACTGATACATAATACTGAGATAAAAGGGAAAAAAAGCGCCTCCCTGAGAGCGGAAAGCTGAAGTTGTAGACCCTTCATTCGAACTGGCAGTCGAATAAATTGTCCAGTTGTAAAAAGTTTGATGATTCCAAAAGATGGAGATATGGATTGCTGGCCATCTGTTTTTGGTCTTGTTTAATTTAAAATCAAATGTCCAGCATATTGGGTATGAAGTAATAATTTGGCTTTCCTCCACACTGATTTGCGATTGCTTGCTTAGTTGCAAAGATGCTGTTGAAGGTTGAAGGCCCTCTTCAGTTTTAAGAGTAGTTAAAGCTATCCAAGTGGCTTTGCTGACGACAACTTCCTCAGGTGTAAAATCGACACCTGCAAAACAAATCTGATTTCGAAGAGTGATTTGTTGGAATAAGAAACAGAGACAGGGCAAGAAGATCTGAAAGAGAAGGAGATGCACTGTCACATATTATTGTTCAAGTAACAAATTTTTCCCATTCTTCGGGCGAATTTAGTCGTTGCAATAGTTGGTGGCATTGGGAAATACGCAGCATATGCGTATTGGCCAATATTTACAGCAATTAGCCATATGATTATGCTGAGGATTGGATTTATTTCCGGATTTGAAGAAAGAGAAATTGTAAAGAATATTCCAACTAAGCCGCGAATGTTAGCCGCTGATTTAAAATTGAATATATAAATGACAAAGTAAGGGGGCACAAATTCAAATTTTATAAATATAAATAGATCTATGCATATATTTCTTCCTCTTTTTTTTGGGTAAATTCAAGATATCCCTAAAGTACTTTAGACTTGAGACTAATTTTTGTCGGATCATGAGCGTCAAGGTTAAAATTCTCTCAACAAATACATTTTCCAAGATTCAAACATATGTTCTTTCTTAGAGGAATGAGACCACTTATCATATCCTATGCATGCATTTCAAATGCAATTAACAGAAATTACTGCTCAAAAAATAATTTTCCCAACAATTATACAAGGGAAAATGACTGTGCAGGGGACTTATTAACACTAACTTTTATCCTAACTTAAATTTACAAAAATAAGATAAAATAAAAACTAATTTTGTGACTACTAATCCAATCGCACCCTAGGTAGCTAGGAAGATAGGGATTCCTTTTCCTATACTTTTTGCCACGAAAACTAGGTTCTTCCTTCTTTTCTTTTCATTCAGTCCGTTTCCTAGCAGTCTCGTAAACTTCACATTCGTTTTACTACATAACAAATAACTCGAAAATACTCGCCAAATTTCAAAGAAAAGCCACGACGATACCACAATAAAAACCGAACAATCATTGACAAAAATTAAACCAATGCAATTTGTTTTTTCCCTTTGGGGTATCTAAAACCCAAGAATATCAAAACTTCTTGTTTTTTAGGCCTATTTTCGAACAACTAAACAAACCAACTTAGAATTATGCACCAAACTACCGATCACTACTCATCAACACCTATTGAAAAATATTACCATGTACAAGCAGTCTTCAAATATATGAAATATGAATTCAGAATAAGAGAAGAGGTAGAGATGGCATGGGAAAATATGTAAAGTACTCAACAAATTCAAAAGCAAGACCATTAGACCTAATGTGGGGAAAACAGAACAAGAATAAAAGCATTATTGAAGCTAAATCCTTTACAATCAGTTTTTCTTCTCCACAAAATTGACATTCACTCGTAGTAATTAGTTTCTAGCCTGGTTTCATGGTCCAACAACTTGTGTGGGGGGTCGCATTGGCCAACCAAGAGGGGGAGACGATCCTGAAGTGGTAGCATCTCGGCTGGGAGAGAAAAGGCTTAACTCAACAAATGCCCCACTTGAAGTTCCATCTTTTTCCAATGTCCGAAAGGAAATTGACCCCTGCTTCGTCGATGCATCCGAATCAGGACTGGACCTGACATTTTCTTCAACACCATCCAAATGACTCTGGTTAGCAATAAGAGACATCGTATCATTCTGATCAACATTAGACCCTCTTCTAGGTTCTAAGTCATGTAAATTTCCCAGAGCTAAAGAATCTGCAACTGGGAGATACACAAGCACACATATACACACCCCAGCACAACATACAAGGGCAAGAAACGCCAAGAAAGTAAGGGCCTCAAACGTAAACTGCTCAGGTCTATATAAAACAGACAAACCAAGGAAAAGAACCCTCAATGGAACGAAAATGGAAACTGAGAGTATTAACGTGTAAACCCTCTTCTGCAAACCCTTATTGATGACCAATTTTAAAATCCGACTTCCAAGCCAAAATAGGTAGAAAGTCAGGATGACGGCAAAAAAACCAAGGAGAATTGTACTGAGTAAAGGGTAAGTACAAATGGAAACCTCATTCTCCCCTAGTGTAGTGATAGCGGCTGCACTTGTAAAATAATGAGGCAAATGTTTCCCAGAACCTTTATTCTTGTCTAACTGAGGTGCAATCAAGATAACAAGTAGCTGGAGAACAAACATCGGGAAGCAGTAAAGAAGAATCCTTCCCACTGTTCTCAAGTTCCAGTTCTGGCTCATAATTCCAGTCTCCACTCTCTGTAACGGTGCCCGAAGGAGAAACACAATGGTTAGAAAGAGGCATGGTTCTGCTAACCCCAAATTTGATACGATGTAGCTTTTGCAAACAGGTTCCTGCCATTTTAAGTGAAGCGCGCGTCTTATCAAACTCAACCGGATAATTTCACCAATGCCCGACCAGATAGCAAACACGATGATTGTAATTCTGATGATCCAAGGACCACTAAAATAATTAAGTTGAACATAACCTTGATGATGACTACGAGACCGGAAGTAAAATGTGTACACAATGCACAGCAAACCAAGAATAACCAAGATAACTACTAGACAAATTGTCACCACACCGAACGCATCGGCAGCAAATCTTGTCAGGGGCATTACCCGTGGTACAGATTCCACACATGCTATCTGACAGCATGGATACGAGAAATCCTTAGGTGTTTGCCCGTTTGTTCCAGAATTATGGTATATGACAAAGTTCCAAATTTAATAATAGGATGGGATAGCTCAATTTAGAATTGCATAACCACTCAAGGTTGACGTTACTTCACCATGCCCATCAATCAATTTGCATACTTCAGAAACACAAAGGATTTGTCCCTGTGGGAAATAGACCAACCTCAGAACATAACCATGGAAACAAAAAGGAAAACATAAGCTACAATAGAAGTCAAATACTTGAATGCAAACATAACTGATTCAGACTTGAATACGATAATAAAATTACACAGTCAAAATACTTTAGACAATACAAAGATGGGAATGTTGATAACAATGCAAGACAACCAAGGGTACAGAAAAAATGTATCACAACAGCAGAATAAGCAATTATGTGAATCATATAAAAAAGGAAGCGAATCCAGAGACAAACTAATTGCCCTAATTAAGTGATGAGACAATATTAAATCCTAGAACTTGTCTGACTCCTAATATAAGTTACAGGGACAAAATAGTACTTAGAGGGTAGATTTCTAGCCGGCTGTGTCCTCAGCATTTGAGCATTAACATACAATTGTAATGAGGCTCCTAGCAATCACAAAAAGCAATATATAGAACAAAATAACAAACAAAAGAAAAAGAAATGTCCCATCAGTTCTGCTTCCGGCAGGTTCTAATTAATTATTCTGAAAACATCATTGCTGGTTCTTTTCAAGCTTTTAATAACCTCCGGGCAAAAGGCCTGATATCCAAAGAAATAAATGAACAGCTAACTGGCTAAAATTTCCCAAATAAAAAATTCGAAATACATAGACTTCGTCCGCACGATACTAGCTCGAAAGTAGTTAAATAATGCACATTAACTGAAACGTAATTAAAAAAATAATCCGAAATTACGTTTCATTATCTCTCCAACGCTTTCTCAAAAACCAGATAAATTATCCGTCAAATTTCAAGTCAAAATGTAATAAACAAACATACAAGGAAACCCAAACAAGACAGCAAATCGGCAATAACCTGAACATTCATGAATATCCATTACCGTCAACCCGCGAAAACAGACAATATCAAACCAAAGACAACAAAGCCAATTGAAAATGCCAAATGAGGAAATACCAACACAAGGCAGGGAAGAAAACCCTACAAAGAGGGAAGGAAACCAGCAGCAAAACGGAGAATACAAAGGGAAAGGAAAATCAAGAGAAAACTTACAGTGCAGAGAATCTTGATCTAACAAAGTTGATACGTTTCCAACAGCCACCGAATAAGATCGACCAGCGAAGGAAACGAAACCCTAATTCGCACCGAGAGCCCAAGAGAGGAAGAAGAAGAAAAAAAGAGGGAGAGAGAAGGGGGGAAGGAGAGAGGGAGGGAGATGGATCGCAGTTCCGGGGAATAGATGAGTGGGACTTGGTTGGTGACAGGCTGTCTACAGCTGTGCTTCCCGCACCTAGAGGTTCGTTGGTCAGGAGTTAGGTGCGGGGTATCTCCGAACCTACGTGGCAACAGAGTGGCGGCGTTTGCGGTGGGTTTTTTCCATTCTTTATTTTCATTCTGTTTCCGGTCTGTTTATTTTATATGTGTGTCTTTGTCTTCATTTCCTTTCCTTCAACAAATCCAAATTTTTATAACAGTTGCTTTGTCGTATTCTTGTGACGGAGACAGTTATTTTTTAAAAACTTTTTTATTTTTCTAAATGATACTTAAATTAAAAAACTACTTATGGTTATGTTGATGGATTAATTATATTAAGTTTTCCAATCACACATAATGATGTGTTTATAAATAGGACATATGATTACATGTGTTTAAAATTTAACACAATGAATATAAAAAATTTACTTAATTATTATGCTTAATTAAATTATTGTGGTAAATATTAAATAAATTATATCATATAAATATTAACTTAAATATAATTATTTTAGAAACGACTCTCTTTTTTAAAATGATTATAAAATATTTTTGAATTTGATTGAAAATATTTAAATGTTTTTTTAACATTCTAAATTATAAAAAAACATTTTAAAATTCTAAAACATAAAAAAAAATTGTTACAAATAGAAACTGAATGTGGCAATAAAAATTAAAAGCCATGGATGGTTGACTCTTTTTTAGGGGATGATAGTATGTTATTGTTGTTCTAAAAAAGTAAAAGAAAATGTTACCAAAAAAATTAGTAATTAAGGATATAAAATTTAGATAGTTCATTCTATATATATTTTGGGATAGCTTTATCAAGCTTAAAAATTAATATATTTATAAAATTTAGTGAAATTCTTAGAAAGTTTCAACAATTTACTCGAAAATTTAACTGATTATATATATTTTAAAAAGTTCAAATTAATTAAAAGGAACTTCACTCAAAATTTTTAAGTTTAATTTTTGATAATTTAAATTTGTATTCAAATAGTTTCTCGAATCATTTAAAATAAAGATTTAATTTAAGTTCTATATTTTATTTTTTTTATTTATTTTAAGTTTTAAATTCTCACGTGAAGTCATCTATCCCAAAGTAAAATTTTGCGCCCGTAGATAACGGCTAAAATAGGACATAGAAAAACAAATACTAGTATTAATTTTATTTATTTTTAGTGGCAAGTTTAGACCTGCTTCCAAGGCAGACTTTCCAATTGCTGAATATATGCCAACAAAGAGTCGCCTGTAAAAATCTAACTCGAATATTCTGATTTTACAGCTCACCCGTATTAATTCATTCATTTAAGTAACACTTAATTTTTTGTTAATTTCTAATAATAATAATATCTATTTTCTGGGAAAAAATAATACTACCTCTGGTCCTAATTAGAAGAGCCAGTTGACTATTTTGAAAAAAATTAAGAAAAGAAGTTAAGTTAGTTATTTGTAATAAATAGGTGTTGTTTTTTCTAAAATATTCTTACTAATCAAGTATTGACAAATTCAATTATTTTTATATATTTTGGTATCTTTTATATGAGTTTTGTCAGCTTAATTGGTCCCTTTTTGCCTTAATTGATTTATTTTGTTTTATTTTGAATTATTATTTTATAGGGGCAAAATTGTCATGTTTTGATTTAATTATGATTAATTGATTTTTAAGGACAATTAATACTACCTTATCCTTAAATTTTGCTTGTAGGTTCTTGAAAGATTCAAAAATAAAAAAAAATAAATAAAAAAAGAAAAAAAATTAAATTAAAAGAAAAAAATATAATAATAAGGTGCGTTTTGCCCCAACCTAATAATCATCATCTCCAGAAGCAGGAGCTGGACGCCGAACACACGGAGGCAGAACGAGCTGAATGGCAGCGAATACGAAATAGAGCAAGCTGAACACAGAAGCGAGCTGGCGGCTGGAGAAGGAGATACACCAGCTGATACACGCACAGAGGTGAACACGAGTGAGTTGAGACGCACACACGCGAGGCGGAAGAGAGGAGCTGAGGGAGCTGGCACTGAAACACGACAGCACGAGCGACGAACAGAGTGACAGCAGCGTGAATAAAGAAGCTCGACGGTTCTCTTCACTCCTCCTTCAATATCCTTCATGGCTGGATATGGTGGATTGCTGGTGGCAGCGAATTTGATGGCAAACCGAGGCTAGATTTCATAATCTTCCAATTTAACAATAATGGCAGGAGTTTGGATCATCAAAGGGGAGTTTTAGTTGCTTTAATTTCTTGTCTAATAATTGTTTAACAATTTCTAGGTCTTAGGATAGTTATTCTAATTATTAGAAAATTTTGTATTGTTAAATCTGATTATCTGTGAAAATTATTGTGGCTGGATTATTGTTTAGCATGTGACATTGGGCTGTTTATAGCTTTGATTTCAATTATAATGTTGTGGTTATGACATTTGTATTGATGTTAGAGTTAATATATTGTGATTTTCTAAGGTGGCTTGGAATTTTGGATCATATTGTCTCTTGCTAGCTTTAATTCTGTTATTTTGGATTTAAGAGTTCTAATTAAGCATTGGTTTTTAGCATCCTTAATCCCATTTTACTATTCTGGTTGCAGTTAGTAAGTTGGGATTTTAGGAAAATATTTTGTGGCAACGCGAAGTAGCTCGGTTGTTGGATTAAAAACTTAATTATAATTCTTAATTCATTGTTTTAACTCCCACATCTTTTAGAGTGATGATTGCCTATATTGTTGAATTAGAGGATTGCTTATTATCATTGTTATTCGTGTGTTCATTTTTATTTCTTTAATCTTCTTTCATTTTAATCATTTTTATATAAAAACAAAAAAAAGTATTTTAATTTCAATTTAATTCAAGGTGTTTACTTAGCAACTATCAAATCAAAAATCCTTTTTTTTATAGTTTAGGTACTTGCATTTATTTACTAAGATTTAATTTCATTTTCGGCTCCTCAAAGTGAAACGACCCGAGTTTTGCACTATATTGCATTAATTCGATTAATTTTTGGAGTAACCCCAAAGCGACAATTAAGGGAAGTTATCTTCAAGTATGTTGGCTAAAACTATAATTATTAGAAGGACTATCTTGGAAAAAAATTGAGTAAATATGAGAGACAAAATATATTAGGGTCATGTATTTAGGATTAACACAAAAATCAAACGGGATCTTATATTAAGGATCGGAGGTAGTAATATTTTTAGTTTACGGCTTAACCAAATTTAACTTTATCTCTGCCTGCCAAAAAAATATTTAACTGCATATCACTCTGTCTTATTTTTTGTGTTCTTGAGGCCATAGTTTCTTGACGATTAAGCAAAAGTTTTGAAAAACAAAGGTAAAATGCATATCTTGATGAGCTCCTCAAACTTAATTCCACGTTAAATGGGCAGTTTCATTTGGTAATCAACTATGTTTCGTTAACTGACACATACAGCGAAATCACTGAATTTTCACTGCGTTTGCGTAAGAGTTTTTCTAAATTAACTACATGCGAACCAAGATTCATAATAAATGACGCTTAGGGCATTACGAAACTTAAAATATCATATTTAACCATAAGCTCATGACACAATATTATTGAAAAGTGCCTTTCATGACTTTCTAAAAACAAAAGTTATCAAGTATCTCAAAGGTAATTGTGAATCCACAATTTTAAATAACAACCACATGCAAATACCCAGAGACCTTCGATCTTCTACCAGCACACAATCCAATAACAATTAATCAAAAGTACAAAATCAATACAACTAGTTTCAATACAAATCAAAGTATGCAGAATGTGCCCTATTATGACAATATACATCTATCTAACACAATCAAAAGGGTGCAGGCACTACAATTTTGCAATAATAACTCAAACTTCCCGGAGCCTTCCCTGATAGACCAGAACGGGAACTATCACCTGGAAAAGTATTAAATTAACAGGGTGAGACAAAAGTCTTAATAACCAACAATCCTACTGATCAAGTGTACAAGTAAGTACTTGTGAGGTGTCAGGTAAGACAATTGTAAATTCATAATATTCAAACAAATTTCATATTGTCAGAGTATATAACAAAGTACAATTAATAGTCCTCTCACTTCCCTTATACCTATCCACGTTATATCTTGTGACTGAATTCATAGGCTAAATCTTTATCCATGTGACTGGGAATTAAACAAGCTTACCAATCAAGTGATATCGTGTCAAATGAGACAATTACAAATTCATAATATTCAAACAAATTTCATATTGTCAAAGCATATAACAAAGTACAATTAATAGTCCTCTCACTTTCTTATATTCATCCACCTTATATCCTTTGACTGAATTCATGGGCTAAATCTTTATCCATGTGACTAGTAATTAAACATGCTCACCAATCAAGTGATATGAACTGGCCAAAATCCACAGAGCACAAGATTGAACCATGGGTTCCCTCTCTAATCCACTGACGGGGTCTCAATGCCCTACAATGAGTAATTGGGCTAAATGACTAATCAGTGTACATCTTATGAACCTGCCACCTTATGTCATTAAATGAACATGATTCATCTCCTTATATCCTCTTTAGTATAACTCCCATTATCAACATCCGTTACCCTTCTCATGCCAATACTCAAAAGATTATATTCATAATAAATCGTCAACATGCCAAAATAAATTCAAATTTTCAATTTCTAATAATCCATAAACACACGAGATCTTTATAGTCATATATATATTTTATAAAGAAAGTCTGACAAGATCATTTCAATAACAACATAGTTTCATAGCTCATATCATAATTCAATAGTGCTTTATAAATTTCATATAATTTAAAATCTATCACAAACAACATACAAGTATGCATAATAAGTTAAAAGTGGTTACCTCTCGTCCACTAAAAAAAGGATTACCATAAGCTTGACTCCATGCTCAAACCAACAATCCAATAATTTAATCTACATAATCAATATATTTACAT